CTTTTAGAGTTTGGATAAATGGTTTAGTGCATCATAACACTTCTGGCAGTTTAATTTGTAATATTTTTTTTAAACAGAAGGTCTGTACATCAGGCCAAAAAGAGGGACAACTGAGAAGGGACAGAGGGATTTAGTTACAAAAGAGGGACGGTTGGGAGCAATGTGTATGGCCCCCTAAGGCTTTGTACACACCGCACCAAAAAGGGAGTGATTGGTTTGCATTCCTGAAATGCTGCGAGCACTTCCTGAGGCTCGGTGGACTAGGTTTGTATCGGAGCGAATGGCTAAATACAGACGAGCACCGAGAAAAGTGCTTGCTTCGCTTTATGCTGCATTGTTAAAGCAAACATGGGCTGAGTTGTCTGTGACCGTTCATACTGCAGTCTCCATTCTACTTGTCTGCTGAGGGGAGAGTGTAGATGCTGAAAGATGCAGCATAGAAGCTGGATGTCCATTTGCGTACAGTTTCGTACATCCAGCGTCTAAGCAGCCCACAGATGTGAGATGGCAGTCGCCAGATCCAACCCTTTACGGCCAGGATCATTCGCGTCTGCATCCACTTTCCCCTTCCGTCCTCCCTACTGCTTTGACATTAACTTGACAGGTCGGCTCAGCCAAGCTTGCGAGTTCATGGAGCGCTACACAACGTTCAGAAGATTTGCTTCTCCGAGGGTGGTCATTTTGTGCCTGCATGTCCATCCTCTAAAGTCTAAAAACTCTTTAGGTGACTTAAAGCGAGCAGAAAAGCAGATCTGTGAGTGTAAAGCCTTCTAGCAATGAATATTCACCCCTGCAGTGCAGCACAAGGGGCCCCAGAAGCGATTCTCTGGCACCAGAAGTGTTAACAGGGTTTATTGCCCTGTTTGTTTGGGAGCGCAGCTGCGTTCTCCCTGCCTCTTCCCACACACACACATGTGGAAACTTCCTTAGTGGTAAACTTCCTGCAGAGACAAGAGAGCTTACACACACAGTCCTCACCCTGCCCGCCTCATCCTGCTCTGTCATTGACAGGAGAGCTGCAACCGCACTTCTGCTCACCTCCAGTCATCCAACTGTACTAGGAACTGTGAGGAGGAAATGTGAGAAAAGACTTCTCTGCATAGATAACAAGCTGCTTGCTATAAAACGCTCTTAAAGAAACAACAAACTGAAAACAAAAACATTTTCTTTGTTTCGGAGCCACGCGTAACATTCACAACAATGTATTCAAAAGCAGCCACTATAGGAAACTAGGATGTTTGATATTTATTATTATTATTATTACATAGTATTTATATAGCGCCAACAGTTTGCGCAGTGCTTTACAATATAAGGAAGACATTACAATCACAATACAATTCAAGACAAGATGGTAAGGGGGGCCCTGCCCCTGGGGGCTTAAAATCTAAGGCCCCATTCAAACTGAGCGACATGAAAATTGCGCGATTTTCCGTGCGATTTTATATGTGCGATATTGCGCGACTTGTCACGCTACGTCACGCAACTTTTTCGTATTGGGCTGTATGCAATCAGGAGCAAAATCGCTCGAAATCCGCAGAAAAAAGGGTCATGTAGGAGCAACAAGCTACTGCGACGAGCTACAAGCGATATTGAGCGGCAAGATGTGAACAGCTCCATTGGAATGGATTGGGGAAGCTACATAGAGCGATATCGCGTGGAAATATGAGCGATATCGCTGCTAAAATCGCGCGATAAATCGCTCAGTGTGAATGGGGCCTAAAAGAGGAGGGGGAAGTGATACATGAGGAGGTAGCTGTGTGGGGATGAATTGTTTGAGAAAGTGATAGTTCAGTGGTTAGGTTGCGGTGGGATAGGCTTCCCTGAAGAGATGAGTCTTTAGGGATCGCCTAAAGGCAGTCAAGGTGGGAGATAGACAGACAGGTTGGGGTAAAGAGTTCCAGAGGATGGGAGAGACTCTAGAGAAGTCCTGGAGGCGAGCATGGGAGGAGTTGACAAGGGAGCTGGAAAGCAGGAGGTATTGGGAAGAGTGGAGTGGACGGTTAAGCTGCCCACACACCTTACAATTTATCTGCAGATTTTCTATGGTCAGATGGAAAAGGTGCAACAGATTCCTCCATCTACACTTAACTGCGTGGATGGAGTAATCTCCACCTGGGCCAATCTGTTGCACTTTTTCCATCTGACCACAGAAAATCTGCAGATAAATTGTAAGGTGTGTGGGCAGCTTTAGGGTGATATTTTGAGACAAGGTTTGAGATATAGCCGGGGACGGAGTTGTGGATGGCTTTATAAGCGACTGCTAATATTTTGAATTGTATCCTCTGGGCGAGTGGAAGCCAGTGCAGGGATTGGCAGAGGGAGGATGCAGACACTGAGCGGTTGGTCAGGTGAATGAGTCTAGCAGCTGATATTTATGAATTAATTCAAAGCCTATTTTTTTTTTATTGGTTAGCTGCCTTTGTAGGATCATGAGTAGTGATGAAGCTTATTAGGAACCTAGTTCGCCCAAGCCCACTTAAAACTCTAACCACTACCCCCTCCTTCTGACCCAATCGGTTGCGGCGGGGGCATTCCCTGCACCTTTGTGACGTAGCTGCGGGGTGGGGATGCAGGAGGAGGAGATGGCGGTCAGGTGAACTGGGATCGCACCAAGCCCAACATCATCACAGATCATGAGTTTGGCTGGCCACACACTGCAACTTTCAGGCAATTTCAATAACATTTAGCCATCTGTCATTTGCAAAAACAACTGAATGTAAGAAGGCAACCACTGACCTGTTTTCTAATTTTGTGTTGTCCCCTATGGAGTAAATTGGACCGTGATTTATAAAGCTGGCCATACACAGGACATTTTTTTATGACACTTTTTGGATAACGTCATCCCCATTCAACAACCAATTAATGCAACCTGCCACAAATACCATCAACGTCCATTGAGTTCAACCAATAGAAAAATAAATAAATAAAGCGAAAACCTTCATATACAGAACCCTAAACTCTCAGCTAATCCAGAGGAAGGCAAAAAACCCTAAACCTGGCCATATGCTGTTTATATGTCCTTCTGACTGGCCTTACTCTGAGCCAGGGGTGGCCCTGCCAACACTGTCATCTGTGCGGTCAACAGTGTCAATTACTGTTTTTATTGGGGGGGGGGAGGGGGTTGAAGGAGTCAGCAGGATGCAGTACATAGCTTCCTAAATATCACAGCACCCTGCCTTAAAAGCCCTTAGCCCTGATGTAAGTAGTGGGCTGGCTCCTGGGAGGAGTTATGCAAATATCAAAATGCCTTGATGGGTAGGTGTTAGTCTGGAAGAGTGCAGTTTCCTATGCAGCACATTTACATGTTATGCTGAGCCTTCGTGAATGTGAAAGAACTGAAATCCAGTTATGGAAAGGGGAGGTCCAGGGTCATTGAGGCAGGGGAGAAAAGAGCTATATGATGGGGAATGTCCTTCAGCCGGGAAATGAGACGGGCTCTATCTGACTAGCTGCAGCTTCTGATGCACACTGTGAATCAGAAGCTGCAGGAGCTAACTGTGTGCAGTGAAATCAGAGTAAGCAATTTCAGGACAGGAGCCTATACAACCAGCGGTTCTCAACCTGTGTAACCTCAGGACCCACATTTGTCCTTGGCTATTAAGTCGTGACCCAAGTCGCACTGCATGGCATTAGGGCACCCCGCGTTTCGTGGGCAACGCAAAACACCTCACACACCAGAATGCATGGTAGGTGGGATTTGCGTGGTACAGTTTAACGCACTGTATTAGTGTGAACGGGCCCTCAAAAACACTGACATACATACACAGACACAATCTCACACAAGACGCACTCCAAAGATGTTTTTATTTTTATGTCCCCCCAGTCTCCCCATCTTACAAGAACTGGAGTGGATCCTCAGCCTGGTGTCCAGTGTGGGCTGCTGTGCTGTGACGGAGCGCCATCCATACGTGCATTGCTTGCACAGATACCTGCATGCTCTGTAGAGGTGCCGGGAGCCAGAATGTGATGTCACTCCGGTCCAGGCACCTCTACAGGACACGTGAGGGAGCTGTAAGCAATGCACGTATGGATGGAGCTCCCTCGTGGCCATAGCCCCAGCCCACCTCAAGCTAACACTCGGAGCCCGGCAGCCTATTTTGAATCGCTCCTTGGCGCAAGAACTAACAGTGCAGCACTGGGGGGAACGCTGAGGAGCCTCTCACTTAGAAAAGAGGAAGGCATGCGGGGACCCACTGAACACGGTTGCAACCCACTTTTGGGTCACGACCCACCAGTTGAGAACCAAGGCTATACAACTATGCAAGGCAAAGTAAGGCTGGAGCTCAGCTTCAACACCAGGCTTACTGTTAGGATTTGAATGTTAAAGCATTATTGAGGGGGTTAGGTTATGTGTCATAGACTCGGTCAGGGGGGAGGGGTCAAGTGTTTGAGACGCTTTAGTGCTATGGACAGTATACAACACAGGGTCAGTTATGAAAGCTGCAGTATTCACACTTGTTCTCAGTTCCATTACATACAAGTAGTCTTGTGATCCAGGCAACCTGGCCCACCAGCATAGCCAGGGCAGTGGCCTCTCCTTTTCCTCTAGAGTTACACAATACAGCTTGGTCGGGCAGACCCCCTTGCGCTTGCTGATGGGTCTGTGTGGGTGGAGCAGCACATTGATAATCTGTCATCTCTGTAAGCAAGTTGCCTATGTTAGAATGACAGCACTGTGAGAAGCACTGATGTGCTGACCCTCCCTCTCACAGTTCTGCTGTGCAAGGCATTATTAAGCTAATTGAAGGCATATTTGGGTACTTTTATTAGTTTTATTTAAGAATACATTTCGTGTTTTCTTTTATTACATAGCCTTGAAAGCTGGACAGCACAGCATCCAAAAGAAAGGGTTGATAAATCTACCTTGTGTTTGGCCTGTCTCTTGTGCTGTTACAAGCAGCTGTATAAAATGCTGGCCACGTGTCTGCCTCCACTGTGGCGTCGTCAGCGTCCCCGCTAATAAGATTTGTGCCTTATCTCTGCCTGTCTCTCTCTTGCAGTGTCTGGAGAAGTTTCCTGTGATTCAGCACTTTAAATTTGGCAGCCTGCTCCCCATTACACCTGTCAAGTCCTAAGGATGCGGGGAGATAGAAGAGAAGATCCCTCTGCCTCTAGATCCAAGCCTCCCCCCTGGCCTTCTCTGCTTCCCGGCTCTGCAGCTGCTTATCTTCCCCACGTGGACGGAGGGTAGCAGCGCTGGCCTTATTTTAGGAAAGACGAGAGCAAGACAACAAGAGACCATCTTGATATCAGCACTGTAACGTCTGTGAACTCATCAAGGGTGCAGAGCCCGGCGCTAGGATGGTATAGGGGGGCTATGGCGTGTCTTTGTGTTCACAGTAGGTCTGTTTACCTTGTAGGTTATGCCATGGCACACAAAATTCAGACCGCAAGTCTCTTGTGACAAAAGATGAACCCAGAAGTTGGGGGTGGGTTGTGGGGTTATTCTCTGTATCATAACTTAAGATTCCGCACAATGTAAGTAGTCCTTTTTCCCCCGCTCCTTTCTGTGTCCATATTCAACTATGGAAAAAAGCTGCGAGCGGGTGGCTTTGTCCAGACAAAATGGCTTCCTTGATGTCTGTGTTTCAGTGAAGAACAAATGGGTGATGGAACTTTGCTTTATTGTGCAGCTTATAGAGATTACACCAATAAAATCTCAAATCCCTAAAATGTGTTTTGGATTTGTTTGTTTGAATTTCCTTTTTATTTCAGCAGTACTGTCGGCCTGTAAAAATTGGAGGGATGCAAAATGTAGAAAAGATATTTCCTGATTGTATATCACAGGACATTCTGGAACCAATGGATTATGCAGCTACCTGCAGGAGATTGGAGACTGGCAAATCAGAGCTGTAAGGGCAGCCCTTGATAACAAAGCCCCCACCCCCCTTCCCAGTCTGTCTCTGTTTTTTTTTGTCCTTAGATTTAGTTTAGTGTCCTTAGGTGTTGAGGTGATGGTCCCCTTTTACTCAGCTCTGAGAGAAGCACAACCTTCCCTTCAATTTTTCTACTTCAAGACTCTTCTTGCAAGTTTCCCTTAATGCTACTTACAGCCACTGGGGCACCTCTCAGGAGCTATCTGGATTTGTTTTCTCCTCAGCTGAGCCTTGGCGGACTTTGCCAGAAGGAAGATGCAGTGCCGGTCTGTAATGTTCTCAGGGAGCTGGATCCTGGGTGGAGTGCTCACCTTGGCACTTAGTGCAGCGTGTGGTGTAGCAGCAGGGGGTTATACAGGTCTAGGGTTGTGGTCCATCTGCCAGTGGAGCCTGAAGACCCCCTGTGGGGGGTAACATGCCCATCATAAGAGTGAAAATTTAATGAAGCATGTCCTTTTTTAAAGGGCCGTTGCCCTCCGTGTGAGACTGCAAGTAGGATAAGGTATGTCAAGGGCTTTTGCCCCAGTCAGGTGCCCAGTGCGTTTTGTTCTGGTCTCTGAGAGTTTAATATGGGGCATTACTGCAACTGTTGTGTCACAGCATTAGGCTGTAGGGATACTTGGGTCTAAATATTTGGCATATTTCTGCCTCCCATGTGGCCTCAAGGATGCATATTTGCACATCCCCATTTTTTCCTGCTCACCAACTCTACCTGCATATTTCTGTGGGTAAGTAACACCAATTTTTGCCCTTCACTTTGGTCTGTCCACTTGACCTTGGGTTTTCACCAAAGTACTGACTCCTTTTTTGGCTCTGCGTCGGTTTCAATGAATCCCCATTGTGGGGTACTTGGAAGACCTCCTTCATAGAGCAGTCGGCACACGCTTCATCTCATCTAACGTTCGTCAGACAATACAAACCCTGCAGACCTTCGGATGAGTCCTCTTTCTTCAGATGACTACTCTTGAACCCAATCATCACTTGGAATACCTGGGCACCTAGTCTTGGATGTGGCCATTGCCCCAAACATGATCCAGTCTTTATGCTCGCATGCTTGGACCTTGCAGTCCAGGAATCGCCAGACTATTCACTTTTACATTTCTTAGCTTACGATGGTCTCCTTCAAGTTAGTTTCGTATACTCAGTTTCCCTCCAGGCTGTTGCAGCTCCGTGTTCTGGTTGTGTGTGGGGGAGGGGGGAGATTCAGTCCCTGGACCTCTCCACATATTTGTCCAGCAAGAGAATGCATTCCCTTCACAGGGGATGCCTTGGCGACTCCATTGGGTCAGTCCAGCTTGATCTATGCTTTCCCTCTTAAACTCTAGGCTCCCCTCCTCTGCAGGATCGGGAATGAAGGGCGTTCAGGTGATCCTCATTGTTCCCAACTAACCCAGCAGTACCCTGCTACGCGGACATAGTCAACTTCTTGGCAGACTCTCCATGGCCACTACCGGATCCTCGTGTCTCAAGGACCAGTATTGCACCCTGCTTCTCACTCACTGGCTTTAATGGCCTGCCATTTGAAGCCCAGGCCCTAAAGGACAGAGGCCTTTTGGTTGCTGTCATCCTTGCGCTTCTGAAATGTAGGAAATCAACCTCACTCAAGGTCTCCCATTTCACCTGGAATGCTTATTTTGCTTGGTGGAAAGAAAGGAACTTCTATTCCAGGAAATACTCTGTAAGACATATCTTATCTTTCCTCCGATCTGGCCTGGACTATAGTACAATCAAGGGTCAATTTTCCAGAGACCGATTGCCTCTCATTTCCTAGTGAAGGTCTTTGTGCAGGGGGTCACATTGCCCCTGCCTGTACGCACTCTGATGTCTCCCTGGGACCTCAGCTTGGTTCTGTGAGCTCTTCAGAAGCTGACACTTGCACCCCTCGGAGATATCCCTCAAACTCTACTCTCTTGCAAGGCTGCCTTCCTCTTCACCATCACTTGCTTGGTATGTTTCTTAGTTGGCAGCCTTGACTTGTAAAGAGCCTTTTCTGTTTATCCACAATGATAAAGTAGTGCTGAACCTAAGACCTTCCTTTCTTCCTAAGGTGGTCTCTGCTTTTCACCTTAACCAGGACATCATTTTACCATCCTTCTGTCCTGCACCAAACCATGTATCCCTCCATTTTTAGGACTTGGTTCAGGCTATATGAGTTTACCTCTCTGCTACAGCTTACATTTGCAAGTCTGACTCCTTCTGCATCATCCCTGAAATTCTCCGAATGGGGCAACGGTCTTCTCGTTCTACTATTGCTAGGTGGATTCATCAAGCTATCACTCAGGTCGGAGAACTGAAGAACAAAGTTTCCCCTATTACAGTCAACCACACTCTACTAGAAACGTTAGTGCTTCTTGGGCCTTTCAGCATCAGGCTTCGGTATCTGAAATCTGTAAGGCTGCCACATGGTATTCCGTTTACATGTTTGTCAAGTTCTACCAGGTGGATGTTCAGGTCTCAATGGATGCCGACTTTGGTCAAAATTCTTCAGAGAGCACACTAAACAGTGAGCACTTCTGTTATAGTCCTTTTGTTGGGGTTTGTTTGTGTATTTCATGGGCATGTTAGCCATTGTTGCTGTGTTGCCCGCTTTTGACTGTTAGACTGCTTTTGGATGTCCCATGGGTTAAATAATTCCCTGTGTCCTGTAATGTATGATCAAGAATATAAGATTTAGTCTTACCTGTAAAATCTGTTGGAGTACATCACAGGACCCTTCCCTCTCTGTACTACTTACTACAAAAGTGAGGTAGGCTGGGAGTGGAAGGGGTTATACAGGGCTGTCCTTACAGCTTAGATTTGCCAATGTCCAATGACTAGATAATAGCTGCATAACCCATTGGTTCCAGAATTAACACCCTGTGTCCTGTGATCTACTCCAAGAAATGGATTTTACAGGCAAGACAAAAATTATAGTTTTCAGGTATTGGGGCACTTTAGGCTTTTATGCAGGAACACCTGTGCTGCTGAAAATGTTGCAGATTTACATTTTGATGCCCCCTTCTAATTTTGGGGGGCACAACGGGAACTCGAAAGGCGAAGAGGAAAAAGTCAAGCAGCTCATCTATTTATAATTACGTAAGTGGGGCAATTCACTGCATGAAAAACATTCCTAATCAGAGGTGACTTAATGAAAACCTGTATCTAACTTTTTGACAAAAACAGAGGTTTCGTTACATGTGTTCCCAAACAATGGTGTCATGTTATCACAGGCAGATCAGTGGTCTATTATCCGAGACACCATGATGTCATGTCGAATGACTGATGCCAGAGTGCTGTCATGCGAACATACCCCACGGTATATATCCTAGCTGTCAGAGTACTTGCTGTGAGCTGCAGGAGGTAAGCGTTAGATATGACACATCCGCAGAACCATATAACTATTGTCTACTGCCACATTAGAAGTCTGTGGTGGAAAGTGTATACTTGCAAATACATGAAACATTATGGTACATAAGAACTTGGAGGGCACTTCACAGTGGACAAGTTGGATAAACAAGCTGAGTTTGACCCCTAAAACACTAGCTATTGCAAAATTAACACTTTAGGAAGTGCACAGTATTTTTACAGCTGTAATTCTTTTAAAACTATGTTCAATGGTTATTCTGTTTTCAGTCATTTCCCTTTGTGGTTGCTTTTTTACAGGTCATTGAAAAAAATGGAAAAAAAACCTCTGAATTGATATACATAGTAACAGTAAGGTAAAAACTGCAGTAGTAGTGTTAAAACGGGTTAAAAAAATACTAGGGATGCACCGATACCATGTACCGTACTCGGTATAAGTACAGATACTGTTCCAGCTCCAAGACTAGACTAGAGAAAAATCAAAAGTTAGGAGGCAGCTGTCATTTGTAAGGAGCACACGGAGCTCCTGGGATTTGTACATCTCTGTATTAATGTATGATTTTGTTTTTATAAACATATATTAGGGATGCACCGATACCATTTTTGCAAGAGCAAGTACTGATACTTGGCCAGGTACTTACAGATACAAGTACTGATACATTTTTGTTTATTGTCATGTGACAGTTTTTCTAAAACAATACAGAGTAATGATTTCCAGACAGTGGTGGAGTGCCAGAGCCAGGTCCCAGCTGCAACCCCTGCAACCCTGGTAGTTCTCATGAAAATGCCAAGTATCGGCACTGGTATCTGAACTGGTATCGGTGCATCCCTAGAAAATACAAAGGAATTCAACCATAGGATTAAAGGAGAACTATGAGGTGAGTGATTTTCACTCACCCTCATAGTTCAAGCCAATGTGTGACAATGAAACTGTCACACGTCGGCTCAATAGATCGGGAAGTGAGCGAACACATAAAGTCGCTCGCTCACTTCTCGATCATGTCCCTGCAGAGAGCCGTGACTATCACTCACGGCTCCCTGCAGGGATTCCCCTCCTCCCCGCACCGATCCCCCAGCGCTGACTGGTGGAACGGACAGGGCAGGGACGGGTACAGCTGGCTCTGCCTCTAGATAGGCAGAGCCATCTGTCAATCATGCAGCTGGGTGGATCTCGACGATAATGTCCCGGCAGTGGCGGTCTCAATATACCGCGAGCTGTTGCTCGCGATATACTGAGCTTTGGGTCACAGGAGGATGCAGGTTTATGTCCTCCCGTGACCCTTAGGAGAACTATGTGGAAAAACACTTACCCCATAGTTCTCCTTTAAGGATTTTCTGGACATAAAGGTGGGATATAAATGGGAGCTCCTGTCCAAATAGAAAACTGAGTATTACATAACCACCTTTTATTTGGACATCTGTGACACCCAAGACCAATTGGATCAGAACACCTAA